TGCAATTGATGGTACTCATATAAGTGCACGAGTTCCTACTGAAAAACAAATTGCATGCAAAAATAGACGAACAACTATCACACAAAATGTTATGTGTGCTTGTAATTTTAATGTGATGTTTACATTTGTGTATTTGGGATGGGAAGGAAGTGCACATGATTCAAATTTTTTTTGATGCACTTACCAACCCAAATGCAAATTTTCTATAGTTATGTAAAAGTGAGTACTTATATTATAACTTAGCTATTTTTAATTGATGAAAAAAGATTAATAAATATATATTCTATATTATGTAAGTTTTTTCCATCTCGTTGATTCTAACTATCCATGTACGGGAGATTTTCTTCTCTTTTATTGGGGAGAAAGGTATCATGCACAGTAATATAAAGGTAAACCTAGGCTACCAAGGAGTCTTACATAGTTATTCAATTATAGACACTCTTCTTTGAGAATGACAATTGAGCGTTGCTTCGCAATCTTGAAAAATAAGTTTCTTATTTTGAAGTTGATGCCTCTATATAAACCTTTTAGGCAACGCCTCATAATAACGACATGTTGTGCTATTCATAATTATATATGGAAGTAAAATTTGAATGATGATTTATTTAGGATATAAGAAGAAATGAATCATATAAGAATTAAGCATTAGAATAGAGGTTCAAGCTTGGAAAAAACTAGTTCCAATAATCATAATTTAGTCAGATTATGCGATGAAGGTGCAGCTTAGATGACAACATTTAGAGATCATATTACAAATTAAATGTGGACACAATATAACAACTATATTAACTATTTATATTATTTATATTTATTTATTAAAAATTATTTTGATATTAAAATTAATCATTATTTTTAGTTTAATATTAATTTATTTTATAATTTTTATAATTTGTGAAACTCTTTGCATTACAAGTGTTACTTCAATCTAATATTATATTTTGATATTATAATAATTTTTCAATTCAATATTTCATTTTAAATATAAAACTATATTTAAATGAATAAAAAATACTAAAATTAAATATCATATACTTATATATATTTATTTAATTTAAAATAAAAAATAAAAAGTAAATAAAATCAAACACATTTTCGTTTTTTAGTTTTTAATTTTTTTTTAAAAATAAATTTATTAAACAAGTTTTTTAATTTTTTCATATTAAAAATATTTTTAAAACTAAACTACGAAACAAATTTTATTTTTTTCTTAAAAATATTTTATAATTTTTTTAAAATATAATTTTTAAAAACTAAAACAAATAAGCCCTAAATTATTATGTTTTGAAAATGTTAGAAATTAAATTCTAACAAATTTTTTTTAAGAACTTATTCCAAAGGATACTACTTGTATATGGACTAAATATAGTTAATCATTTTCTGTAATTATCTAAAATAATTTTTTGTTAACTAGAAATTAAAAATAGTTTAGGTGTATTTATTTATTTTTTATAATATTATAATGCCCAATAAAAACAATTTTTTAATGTTAGGTCAAATGCTTGTTAGATTTTATTTCAATGAAATATCAAGCTTATAAACTTCATTATAAAATTTATTGGAATAAGTTGAGATGAAATTTATTGGAATAAGTTGAAAAGAGCTTATTTTAATAAATTATTATAAAATCTTAATAAAATAAGCTTAAAAATTATATATATCATAAACTATTTTTATTATAAACTCTTTTAAATACTTTCTCAATTAGATCAACATTTATAAAGTCTTACAAACAAATTCTATCATTAGGTTTTTTTTAAAAATAAAATAATTTGATTAAAATAATTATAATTTAATTTAAATACTACCTTTCAAATTTTTTTTACATCATATTTATCAAAAACATGTGATCAAGCTTGTTTAATATATATATATATTTTTTATCATTAATGAAATCAATCTATTTAAGGAGTGCTTAAAGAATTTTGGTTGATTTTATAAAAATAACTTCAGAAAAATATTAAGATACCCTCTCTAACACGGTCTTTTTAATACAATCGTAGTTATTATCTAAAATTTATTAAAAATTATAAAAAATATATTTTTCAATATTTTTACTCCTAATTTAATATTTTTCTATTATTTTTTTGTATTTTATTTATAATAAATTTAATTAACAATTAAGAATGTGTGTTAGAGAATATTAATAGTTTATTTAATATGTTAAGTTCATCATATTATTTTTTTATTAATAGTTTTAATATTAATTATTTTTCACTTCACTAAGAATATTATTATTTTTTCAATACTTGTTCTTTCAAATATATAATATGATAGACAAGTAGGGATACGACACCAAGCATGTGAATCATTGATATGGAGTTATTCTAACTTAATTAACAGTCTTGAGTTCAAATCATGCAATTATGCTTAATACTAAGAGAGAGAATTTTGTTAGATTGTCTCTTGCAAAAGATACCTAAGGTCTAAACCAAAAAATCTCTTACGTTCTAAGATAATTAGACACACAAAATTGAATTTTAAATAACTAAAAAAATAATGTGAAACACTGGCAAAAGTTAACAAGAAAGTTCAAAATAATATAGTAAAAAAAGTTTAAACTAGCACAACATGTTACAAATTAGCTTTAATGAAAAAAAAAGAGAGAGTTTAAAGTGATTGTGTTTAATGTTGTGAATAAGCGTGCTAAGATAATTAAGAGCATGTTCATATCAAGCATAATCATGCTCATTGTAGCTATTTAGCAATTCAACAAGAACTTGCTTGACTTGCTAGGCATGGGGTACTAAAATGAGCATGCTATACAAACTCCAAATTCTTTAACAAATGACTTAAATTTAATTTCTTTTTTACTCCAAAAGTACTTGTAAGTCTCTTTAATTGTTCTTAACATAAAGTAGAAAAAACATAAAAATAGACAAACTAATAAGCTTAAATAATTAAAATTTATGCAAAATCCTACAAATAAATTAATAGAAGTGACAATATATAAGAATTACCAAAATGATAATATGAAATATTAAAAAGGTAAATGAGAAAGTGTAAAAAGAACTTTAATAAAAATAATAATTTTTAATCAATCTTGCAACAAAAAACAAATAAATAAAATGGAAAAGAAGAAGAGTAAAAACTCTATTTCTTCTATGACTATAATTATGTATACAATTTCCTATTTTGTGAGTTTTTTCAAAAAATTATATAGATGAATTTTAAACTTCTAATGGGTCCAAACAAAATAACAAGAAAAAGGGCTAATTTGAAATCTTGGAACAAGCTCCATCCATGGTCGTTATCTCAACTAGGATGAGCTTGCTTCTACACTTCTTTTCTTAACTATTTAGCACATGTAACATGGATGTGTGCTTGCTTCTATACTTCTATTTTTTAACTATTTATCACATGAAAGATGAATGTGGTGGAAATTAAGGGTAAGTAGTTACTGTTAGAAAACTAATTCTAACTTACTCTAAAAAGAAACAATTAAATAATTACTGATATTTATTTTATCTTAATTATAAGAAATAAGAAATTATTTTTATATATATTAATTGTTGAATTTTTTTTATATTTTTATTTATTTTATAAAATTTGTATTAATGAGTATTCACACATTATCTATATAAGTGAATATGATATATAAATATGTATTATTTTCTTAACAAATTAATTATTTTTATTAAAAATCATAGAAAGAAATAAGATAAAGTTTCATAAAAAAAGCAAGTAGTTGCTAACCGATGTCTTAAAAAAATAAAAGTAAAAAATATAATTAATATACCATTTAATAATTTTTATCTTAATATATTCTTAATAAATTTTTTAACTGAATTCATATGAAATTATAAGAAGCGTTGGAACAATTTACCACGACAGAATTAAATAGTACGGACACGCAAAATGAATTAAACTATTGGAAGCACGTTATTGGAAGCACGTTTTTCTCGGGTGAACGACACAGATAACATGCAAAACGAAAAAACAGAAAATTATCCGTTGCATATAATATAAATTAAATTATCCTTTTGATATTACAATTTACAAATCAGTGCTCCAAATCAATGGACAATTTAGATGAATTTGCAGGCATAGTAAAATACGAAATAAATAATAATAATAATAATAATAATAATAATAATAATTTAAAATGAGAGTAAAATATGAAAATAAGTGTAAATAAATAATATAAAAAGTAAAACGTAATAGGAAAATTTTAATTTTTTAAAATAATTGTTTTGAATTTTTTATTTAATATAAATATTATTTAATTAAAATTTTATAATTTTAAAATTATTGTTTTTATTTAAATATATTAAATGCAAAAAATTTAAATTATATATCTAAACATGAGTCGCTGAAACCAAGGGATCAAAGTACTAGGAAGAAGGGTAGGAATTGAAACGGAAGAAGCATCTTTGGCGGAGGATCGGAAATGAGAGAATAAGGACCAGATGCCAATTATTTTAGTCTTGGGGACTATTTAACAATTAATAAGGACATGATGGACAAAATAAAAACTGACTCTTGTCTTCGGACTGTTATGGTCTTCCATAAAAAAGTTTTTATTTTATTGAAGAGATTATTTTTGTTATTTTGTTATTATTTCTGCTTATTATTTTTAAAATATAATTTTTAAAAGTTTTTTATTTTCACAAAAATATGTTTTATACACTTTAAAAAATAAATCTATATCTTCTAAAATTTAAATTTTACAAATGTTATAGAACTGATAATTATAACAAGTAAAGTATACATTTAATTTTTATAATTAACAATTATTTATATATTTTAGTCTCTATACAATTTATTATTATTATTATTATTTTATTCTTTTAATCATAAAATAAAATATTTGATATAAGAATTAAAATGTAACATTTTTAGACATATAAATTAATTTGTGAAAAATAATTGTAATTTTTAACCTTCAGAAACAGTTTTCTATTCTACTATGCTTGGGAACTTGGACTTGAACACCACTCTTGAAACGCCATTTCCCTTATCTTCATTGTTCAGTTACGCATTTAGAATCATTGGCTCAACTTCCTTAGCTCGCTCTCTCTCCTACGCATTTTTTCTGTAACTACTACTTACCTTTTAAGGCAACTAAACTTAAGTGTCGCGAGTTGCAACTTGCAATATATAAATTAATAATAATAAAAATAAAAATAAAAATATCTTGTTGATGGATCCATCATTGTTTCACATTCATTCTCTATAAATGGGGTTTCATTGTTTGTTGCTTTTGATAAAGATTTATTTTTTTTTCCTTTCATTTTCTTATCTTCTCACAGAATGGCCAAGACATGTTGCAGTTTGTGTTTGGTCTTTCTTCACGTTTTCCTTTGCTTTGTGTTAACCATTTCAGCACCTGAAAGTGCCATTGTAACACAGGTTCCTGGCTTCAATGGCACTCTACCTTCAAAGCACTATGCTGGGTACTTCTTTTTTTTCTAAACAAATTTAATGTTTTTTCCTTGGAAATGTTGACCCTTTGAGAAATTAATGAAATAAATAATTGCATTATTTTGTGTCTTATTATGCGGCCTTGTTTTGAGTTTGTTGAAGGTACGTGACAGTGGATGAAAGTCATGGACGGAACTTGTTTTACTATTTTGTTGTGTCAGAGGGAAAGCCTTCTGAGGACCCTGTGGTTCTGTGGCTTAACGGCGGACCTGGGTGCTCTAGCTTTGATGGATTCATATATGAGCATGGTAATTATTACCCTTTTCTCTTTTGGTAGATTTCAAGGTGAACATTAGGAATTGTAACCCAGAAATGGTTTGAAATTATTCATAGTTATGCTATATAGTTCTTTCCTAATGACTAGTTACTCAATATACTTGTTCAACACGCTTAACGGCGGACCTGGGTGCTCTAGCTTTGATGGATTCATATATGAGCATGGTAATTATTACCCTTTTCTCTTTTGGTAGATTTCAAGGTGAACATTAGGAATTGTAACCCAGAAATGGTTTGAAATTATTCATAGTTATGCTATATAGTTCTTTCCTAATGACTAGTTACTCAATATACTTGTTCAACACTTACTTGGTTTCTTCCAAGTACATATGATGGATATCCTAGTAAACCATCAGTAGAAAATGGTTCTGGTTCTGTCATTTGTTGACCCTGAGGCTGAGGTTACTTTATGAATCATGTGGCAATTGATTATTTGTTTCAGGTCCTTTTAATTTTGAAGCAGCAAAGACAAAGGGAGGCCTTCCCACGCTGCATCTCAATCCATACAGCTGGTCAAAGGTCTGAACTTTTTGAACATTGTTGAAATCAGAATGGGAAGGATTAGGTTTGTAAATGAGTTGAGTTGAGCCGAACCTGAAGTTCATAGGTTATTATTGTCAGGTCTACAGCTTGACTGATTTAAATAATCGAGTTTAACTAAGTTTGAGCTTGTTTGTTAGATAAGCAAACAATCTTTAGTATTTAGTGGCCTGAGTTGGCATAGTTCATGAGTAGCTCGACTCATTTACACTTCCAGGAAGGACGATTTCTTCTTTATCGTCATGTTTTGGGTTGAGTATATGTGTAATGCTGTGATTCATCAAATACTAGTTGTGTTTTCATGCGATCAATTTATATGTATGATTCTGTGATTCATCAAATCCTAGTTGTGTTTTCTTGTGATCAATTTAAATGTACGATTCTGTTTTGCACCATAGGTTTCCAGTGTCATATATTTGGATTCTCCAGCTGGTGTGGGGTTTTCATACTCTGAGAATAAAACTGATTACATAACAGGAGACTTAAAGACTGCCTCTGACACACATGCCTTTCTGCTTAAGGTAGTTAAGGAAAGTGAAAAATGTGAAATTTTGACATAATATTTGAACTAACAACTCTGTATTCTTCACAATATTCTTACATATATGCCCCTTTCATATATATTGCTTTTATTATAAATCAGTGGTTTGAACTATACCCTGAGTTCCTTACCAACCCATTCTTCATCGCTGGAGAGTCATATGCTGGAGTTTATGTACCTACTCTTGCTTTTGAAGTAGTGAAAGGTAGCAAGTTATGTCCTTATAGTGTTGAATAAATGTGTTAGAACGGGAAATAAGGTGTGGTTTCTTGATTTTTCCACAGGAATTGATGCTGGCGTCAAGCCCAAACTGAATTTAAAGGTCTTTATTTTTAAGTGATCAATTTATGTTTTCAAGCCTGTGGCTGCAATCTGAACGTCTTTGTGTGCAGGGTTATATGGTTGGAAATGGTGTTACAGATGAAATGTTTGATGGCAATGCTCTTGTTCCATTTGTGCATGGGATGGGTCTTATCTCAGATGATCTGTTTGAGGTGAAAACAAACACCACTTTTATATCATTGTCACACAATGATTCATCATAATTTCATCATCTTAATAGACCATTAAATTAATTGCTTAGTTTTTGTTTTATGAAATATGTAAAATAGTTTACACTTTCTGCTGTATCTAGATCATTTTGAAGGATTTTAATCATATTTGCACTTTTGCAGATAATCTAATTTTCATTTTTCTCTGACTGTAATTGTCTTATTCAACGTTGATTTTTTATATACTTAACTTGAAATAACTCATTTTCTTTCTAACATTATTTATGTTAAAATGAGAGGACATGCCAATTAAGATGTTCATAGAACCAATGATGTTATCTGCTATGAATTTTCCATTTATAATATGGCAATATGTATTATCTTTTGAATATAAAAGCAATACGCATTATTTAAGAGTATGTTTCATGTTTGGATAGATTTTGTTTGAAACCTTGCTAAGTCCTTTAAATATGTTTCATTTAACCAGTGGTAATTGCTGCTGCAGGAGGTTAACACTGAGTGCAAAGGAAATTTTTACAATCCAACAAGTGATAATTGTGCTTTCAAGCTTCAAAAAGTTGATCAGGTGATTTAATTAGATAACATTACTGACAAGAAATGAGCTAAGTGATTTGGAACTCATTGATGGTTCTTGCTATTTTAGGACATTGATGACATAAACATATATAACATTCTAGAACCATGCTATCATGGCACAGAGACACAGAAGATTACAGCATCCTATATTAGATTGCCATCTAGCTTCCGGAAGTTAGGTGAGACTGAAAGACCTTTTCCTGTGAGGAAAAGAATGTTCGGTCGTGCTTGGCCCCTAAGAGCACCTGTTAGACATGGAATTGTACCAACTTGGCCGCAGCTGAACAATCTTAACCATGCTCCACCATGCACTGTAGGTTGCATTACTACTATCTGAGTACCTATTTTTACCATTTATGATTTAGCGTCTAATTCTCAGCTACCATTTGACTTTAATGGCTTGATTATTGCATAAAATTTATGTCCAAGTCTGAGAACTGTTGATTCTTTATTGCTAAAACAACAGAAAACTTTGAGTTCTCCCCATCTTCTGTGAACAACAAAGCTGATTATTAAATTAGAAAGTGATGAAAATAGTCCTGAAAAAGAGAACATGCTCAAGTCAGTGAGAGAAATATAAATGCTAAATTGAAAGACACTCCTACAAGGTGTCTTCTATCTTGTTCTAAACCTTACATATTTGAAGTAATGCTTGTTCTTCATTTCAGATTAGAGATAAACTAGATTTGAGAGATTTCTAACAAATAACGATTTTCCATACTCCATTAGCACAAAATTATGTCTTACAGAAAACTAGGGTTGTTTGGATTGAAAATATGCTTTTTATTTTCATTTTAAATCACAAAAGTATCACCTTGTTTTCACTTTGTTTACTATTTTCAAATATTACAAACCAAATTGCCCCTATGCATTAGCTTCTAAAAATGGTTCTTTAAAATTGAAAGTAATTTTTTAAGGGATTTTCCTGTTAACATCTAAGCTATCATACAACAACAATTTGCTTTGATCGTGACAAATATTTCCCAGTTGAAGGGACAATAATTTCTTTTCACTCTGACTTATTCTTTCATGTCTACTTTGATTAAAATGTTGCCGGGCTTCTATATACATGATATAATCCTGTATCCTGATCACTTTTATAGTTATTGTATTATTTTTCCTCTGAATGTTTAACAAGTAACAAGATGTAATGATATCTTTAGGATGATGAGATTGCAGACACATGGTTGAACAATGAAGCAGTCAGGAAAGCAATTCATACTGCACAGGTAAGGTTTCTAACTCCAGTGAGGTATCTGTACTATGGATGTGAAAACACTAATTCTTGTTCTTTCTGATGAAACAGAAAAGTGTTGTCAGTAGCTGGGAACTTTGCACAGACATAATTTCCTTTGATCATGATGCTGGGAGCATGATCAAGTACCACAAGAACTTAACCTCCAAAGGGTATCGAGCACTTATATTCAGGTCAATTTTGTTCCATTACGTTTTACTATTTCTTCTGTTTAAGCAATTGTGCCTGCTTTGGGTATTATGAGTCTAACAAGCTCAATGTTTTTGTGCCCTTGAGCAGTGCAGAATATGTAGGAATGCACTTCATGATCTGAATGTATTTAGAAAATGAATTGCTTGCCTTACAAGTATCAGTGTTATCAAATTGCTTGCCCTTGAGCCGCCATCCGCCATTGATACCATTGTCAAGTATGCTGATTGCATATTTTCATTCTGGGAATAATTCGTTATCAATAATGATACTTCACTAGAATCTTTGTGGCTGACCATTTACATTGAGTAATGAATGACCATTTTCCCAAATTAGTGTTGGTTAATGCGAAGACAACCATTCTGTCAATGAAAGTAATATCATTGCCTTTCTCTTTTAACATAGTGTTGTCACCCATATTACAACCATTAGGCCCATTACTCACCCTATGTCAAAGTCATTCTAAATTCCACCACCACCATTATTATTTCCAATATCATTTCAACATGTTAATGCATTGTGGGCCTCTTGCATTGCAAGAAAGTAACCTTTTGCCACTTTCATTATGGGCTGGCACAATCAATTAAGCCTGCTAAAATATATTTTCCTTGTAATCTATTTTACTGTAAAAATACAGGTAAAGTTTAGACTTTAAGATTAATTGATTTGAAAAATAAGTTTCACGTTTCTGGCAGTGGTGATCACGACATGTGTGTTCCATTTACTGGGAGTCAAGCATGGACAAGATCAGTGGGCTACAAGATTGTTGATGAATGGAGGCCTTGGATGTCCAATAATCAAGTTGCTGGGTACTTATAGCTCCATTCCCTTTTATCTTCTTATCCTACTTTGTTAATCTTCAAATATTTTAATCAGTTAAATGGGGGACCTTGTTTAAAAATCTCTTGTCTCTGAAATGGTTTATTAGTCTAGATAAATTGATCTTTGTTAAGTGCCTATACCTTGCATTATGAAACATGCTAGAACATATTTTTTGGGATTCTGGCTCGTCTAAATTAAGGTGTGTGAAGTAAGCGAGGGACTAATTATAGTTGATTTGATATTGATTATGTTGATTAAAGGCTTTAATTCAAATAACGGTAATTAGCCCCATATTTTTCCATTGTAGATTTTTTAATTGGATCTGCATACTTGTATTCTAGTATTGATCCTTCTTATCAATAGGAATTTAGGTCTCAAGGTTGCAACCTGTTATCAAAAGTTCAAAACATGCCCCAGAAATGTTTTTCACCACACATTGCATAAAAGACCAATCTCTCTCTCTTTATTTGGAGGAGGAAACCATTACAGTTGAATTTTATGATAACTGCTTTAAAGTCATATTTAGAGTATTTTCTAATTGGTTGTTGGTGTAAATCTTTACATTAACAAAATATTAATATTAAACTCTTTTCTTTATTGGTTGCAGGTTTACACAAGGATATGACAAAAATCTTACTTTTCTGACCATAAAGGTTTGTGTATATACATTATCAATAAGAATTAGAGAAAAAAAGGTAACCCTGAAGCAGTTTTATTAGCATCAAACTTTACAAATCGTAAGTTCTTATTAAAAAAATAAAATATTCATTATACTTTTATAATTTTAATATAATAAAGAATTATTATTTTACTTACCTAAAATAACCAGCCTTAAAGGTGATGTTAACTTTTTTCATTAAAAAATCTCTCCTTTATTTTTCTCCAACCAAACACATTGGCTGCATTGGTTGAGTTGTGAATAATATTTGATTACATTTGATACAGGGAGCTGGGCATACTGTTCCGGAATATAAACCAAGAGAGGCTTTGGATTTTTATAAACGCTTTCTTTCTGGATTGCCAATATGAAAGAGACTGAGAATGGAATAATGCTGCTTTTCGTTTTCTTTGTACTTTATAAATGATTTATATGGGTGAATGGAGACATCATATTATATCATATATGTCTATTCTATGTTTACCTCTCTGATTTATTACCATGGTAATATTAATTACCTTTTATATTTAAAATGAGACTAATAGCATATGACAAATAACCTTGTTTAATTTATTAAATTTGGGCCACGGCAATTCATTTATTAATTTCTTACAAAATATAATGCCCGGGCGTGCGTAATATGGATTTTTGTAAACATAAAAAAAAATTAAAAATGTTTTTTTTAGGTTGTTATACTTTTTAAAAAAAATTAGTAGTCTTATTTTTTTTCTCTTTTTTAGTCTCTAATCTTTTAAATTTAACGCTTTTAGTCCTTAATTGACTTAATCTAATAATAATAATCTGACACATAACACATAAAAATAATTTGTGACAAACTCTTAACTGGTCATGTTTATTAAAATGCTTAAACTTATTGTTAAATGACTGAAGTTAGCAAAAACCCAAACTAAAATTAAACACATTTCCTTGGAAGGATAAAAGCATAGTAAAAATCAGTAAAGAAACATTAAGAGCATGTTTATTTTCCTTTTTAAAACGATTTTTTTAATTAAAAATATATGTATTTTTAGATTTTAATTAAAGATATATATTTTTAATCTTTAAAAAGAAAAAACTCTTTTTAATTAAAAACTAAAAATACATATATTTTTAATTTTTTAAAATTAATTTTTAAAAGGAAAAAACACTTTTTAAAAAGGAAAACAAACGTATCCTAACATTCTGAAAATGCTTTGACTAGGTGGCAATAGGCCTCTTTCTCATTGGAGAGGGGAAAGGTCAAAGAAATTTAAAAGTTCCACTAGAATGCTTCTCCACGAAGTTGTTTTATCTTCAGAGCTTATTAATAAGCAAAGGAAGGATCACATAACTTGTTCATATGCTTTGTTAGTCTTTCTTATATTCACTTGTTTTCCCATTTTGTTTCAGTATTGTTGACACTTTGTGACTGTGATTTAGGCAAGTGAGTGAGAGACGTAATGGGGACTCCAAAGGATCACATTGAAGAGATAAGAAGGAACAAGTTCTCCATTGGGGGCACACCAAACCCATTGATTGAAGACTTGCATCAAGCTGTTAAAAATCTCTCTGTTGAACTTTATGCCAAAGATGTTCATTTTCTCATGGAACTCATTCAGGTCCCCACTCACTACTTAATTTTTTAATTACCATCATTCTCATTTTCTCTTCTTTTTTATTTTATTATATATTTGAAAAATATGACCGAGTACTTACACGTTTGATCGGAAGTATTATTTATATTTAACTTAGAATTTTATATAATAAATTTGATCATTAAATTATTGAAATAAACTATTTTTTTTAAGTTTGAATAACTCATTTGAGAACCTATATTTTTATAACATTGATTTGTTTGCTTAAATTGTATGTCTCTAAATTGCCATGTAACTACCAAGTTACACAAAGAAGCTGAGTGCTAATAATGTCCACTACACACAAATTTTATTTTATTGATTACCATATTATTAGCAGCTAAAGTATGATTATATTCCTTAAGTTCTATTTTGCCATATATTTTCTTAAATTATGGTCTTCGATATTTTCCTGTCTTTGGTTTTACTTAAACAATTTTGTTTTCCGTAAATTAAAATAGTATTAGATGTTTGGATGAAACTTTTGTTTATTGTTTTTCCTTTTTAATCATTTGTCGGTATGCATTTATTAAAATTTTTGTTGTCACATATAATAGCTATTTAATTTATTTTATTTAGGACCAAAAGCTTTTATAAAAATTGTTTTTATCACTTTTTTAACTAAATGTGTTTACATAAAGTTTCAACAGAATAATGCAGGGTAACAATATCCATACAAATCTTTTAACAGAAATTTTAAGTGCAGTCTTACATATTATAATGAAAAGACTCTTTCTTTAAATTATGGTAGTCCTATGATCTGCTTTTGCTTTGCTTCCTTGTTGCAATATCTGTGAGCACTTCTAGTTTAGTTTTAGCTATATAACTAGTACTCGCATGCATTTTTATAAATAGAATAAAAGAAAATACATAAAATGTCATTTTAATTAAGTTTGGTATCTTATACAGTTTTTTGTGACATTCAAAACTTTTATATTTTAGCTTAATCTCATTTATAGTTTCACAGATTTTCTATTAAGTTTTAAATGGAGTTTCTTAAAATTACAACTATGCTTTGGACATGTAGAATCATTTAAGATTTTAGATTTATGCATTTGTAATATTTGATAGTTCTCCAATTATTTAATGTAGAGTAGAGACTTTGATGCAGACATCCACTCTTAATTATCTGTTCAATGTATTGCCTTCATTGATACACTTACTAGAAATGATGACATTATATTATTCAATAATAGTGGCTGATTTACTATCACAAATTTATTGTTACTTTCACAGAATGCTGAAGATAATCAGTATTCTGAAGGAGTGAGTCCTTCACTTGAGTTCATCATAACTACTAAGGACATAACAGCTACTGGTGCTCCAGCCACGTTACTGATTTTCAACAATGAAAAGGGTTTCTCCCCTAAAAACATTGAATCTATATGCAGTGTTGGACGGTCCACAAAGAAAGGCAAAAGGAGCAGTGGTTACATAGGCGAGAAAGGTACATTCTCTATCTTAATTCTTAAATGTCTCTAAACGGGTTTGTATATTATTTCAGTAGAGACATGTGTGGGTCATGCCTTCAGTGAAGATTAGTTAAGTAATTAAATTGTATTTAAATACCAGTATAAATTGTTCATATATGCACACAACTAGCTTGAATCAACTCAGTGCCTAATACCTTGTTGCATGAAAATAATGCTTGTAATTGTTAACAATGTTTTAGTATTTCTTGTTCCAAATATGGTTCTCATTACTCAAATTTAAACATGTTACTATCATCTGAAAGGCTAAGTTAATAAATTACCATGACTGTGCATAATAGTGGCCAAATGAAAAAAAATGATGCAAATCAATGACACAATCTCTTGTATGGTTGGATTGCAGGAATTGGTTTCAAGAGTGTATTTCTAGCTACTACTCAGCCACATATTTTTAGCAATGGATATCAGATACGGTTCAACGAGAATCCTTGTCAACATTGCGGCCTTGGCTATATAGTTCCTGAATGGGTTGAGAAGCCAACCCATCTTGACATAGAGGAGATATATGGTGCTGGTGACAATGCTGTTCCAACTACAACAGTTGTCTTACCTCTGAAGCAGGATAAGGTCAATCCGGTGAAACAGCAGCTGTCAAATGTTCATCCAGAAGTTCTGTTGTTCCTTTCTAAGATCAGACACCTTTCTGTCAGAGAAAGTAATCATGATCCAAAGCTGAACACTGTGAACTCCATATCTATTTCAAGTGAAATTAACTTTGCAACAAGGAAAAACATGAATGCTGAGTCGTACACACTTCATCTATCTGCTGAGGAAAATGGTGGTTCTGAAAAGGAATGCAGCTACTATATGTGGAAGCAGAAGTTTCCTGTCAGGTCTGAATATGTGGTGGAAAGGAGAAGGGATGTTGAGGAATGGGCTGTTACATTAGCCTTACCAAATCAAGAGAGGCTTCATAGGGGAAGGACCTCACCTGGGGTCTATGCATTTCTTCCTACAGAGATGGTAACTAACTTCCCCTTCATAATTCAAGCAGATTTTGTCCTAGCTTCGTCAAGGGAGACAATTCTCTTTGATGATAAGTGGAACGAAGGAATACTAGATTGTATTCCTTCAGCATTTATGGATGCTTTCAAAACACTTGTCATAGGATCAGATCAAGCTCCCTTGTCCAGTTTGGCTCCCATGTTCAAATTCATTCCCATTAATAGTTCTCCTTATGAGAAGTTAAATCATGTGAGGGAGAAAATCAAATCAAAACTGCTTGATGAAAAAATTATTCCTATTGAGACATATAAAGAGCAGAAGCATTTCTTTAAGCCTTGTGAAGTTGGAAGGCTACTGCCTCAATTTTGGAGTATTTTGTCTGAGGCTCGTGCGCAAGGAGTGCTCTTGCTTAACCTATCATCTCACGATGGAATTAAAATTTTGAGTTCTTCATTTGATAAAAGCCAGTATGATGGAATACTAAATTTTTTAGGAGTTCAACAGGTCAAAGTTGATTGGTATGCAAAGTGCATTCGAAGTTCCAATCTTGTGGATGGAGTATCTGAAGATGTTTATCTGAAGCTTCTACAGTTTGTTGCTACAAACTGGGAAATGAAGTTTGATGGATCCAACATGGTTAGCATTCCTTTGTTGAAGTATGTGTGTTCTGATGGGAGCCTGTCCTATTTCAGTGTTTCTGATTGCACCTACGGTGGAAAGCAATTAGTTATAGCAGACCCGAATCAGTTATGTCCATGTTCTTGGATGATTGATTGGAACTGGGAGTTTTCAGGTGCATCCAACCTGTTTTTTTTGCCAGAATTGACACAGAAAGCTGTCTTGCATTTTCCCCACAGGCAAACTTTATTGGAATGGCTGGAAAATGAAGTTAACGTGACTACTTTGAATGTGCACTCTTTTGCAAATTTACTTTGCAGTTCTATTAAAGGAAACTGTAAACGTGCTATTACATATGCTCACTTTTTATATCATTCTTTGTCTAATGGTTACTTGTCAAGTCGGGAGGTCGATGGCTTGGTTACTTCTATGCCACTTGTTGACAACTATGGACATGTGACTGACAGTAGAAAAGGGGTTCTTTTACCTGCAAATGTGAGCAAATGGGCAGACCTGATTGTTTCGAATCCATGGAGAAGTGAAAATTATGTTGAGCTGGGAAAGGAGTATTTACAGCAATCTTGTTATGCAGGCCAATCCACAGACTATAAGGAACTAATCGAATTCCTGAAAGATCATGCTGATGCATCTGACATTCCTTATATATCTCCGCCAAATGCTGGGTTTCCTGGTGTAGATACACCACTTACAAAAGATAATGCTTTTTTACTCTTAGATTGGATTCGGAACCTGAAGTATAGAGGAGTGCATCTACCAGAGAGGTTCTTGAAATGCATAAAGGAAGGAAGCTGGCTTAAAGTTACAATCACTGGATGGAGGCCACCCTCAAAGTCATTCTTAATTCGCTCATCATTGGGAAGAATTTTGCAAAGTGGTTCTGTTCTTGTTGACATTCCATTGGTCGATGAGAGTTTCTATGGTAGAAGAATACTTGAGTATGAGGAGGAGCTGAAAACAGTTGGTGTGATGTTCAGTTATGAGCAAGCGTGTGAATTCATTGGAAAAGAACTAATGAATCGTGCAGAATCTTTCACTTTAAGCAGGAATCATGTTATTTTGATGCTGAAATTCATCCAATATCTGAGACAAAGCCTTCTTCCTTCAGACAAATTTGTCAACAGCATCAGAAAGGGAAGCTGGTTAAAGACATCTCATGGTCTGAGGTCTCCCGTCGGATCTGTATTATATGATTCGGGATGGGGAGTTGCATCACAAATTAGTGCCATCCCTTTTATTGATCAGGTTTATTTTGGTGAGGAAATATATAATTTCAAAGAGGAGCTTAAGTTGCTTGGCGTTATAGTTGGCTTCAATGGAAATTACAATGTTGTAATTGATCATATAAAGCCAGCCTATAATTTGGCATGTTTAACAGCTGAGGCTGTTCTGTTGATAATGGAATGTATAAAACAGTCCTCTAGCTCAGGTGGTAAACTCTTAAATTTATTCAAAGGTATGAGCTTTCTGAAGACAAATAATGGAATGTATAAAACACCAGGTGAATGTTTTTTGTATGATCCTGTATGGGGCTGCCTTTTCGCGGTGTTTAGTGATTTTCCAGTGATTGATCACAAGTTCTACGGTGATAAGATATTTAATTACAAAGGTGAATTAAAGAAAACTGGGGTGGTGGTTGATTTTGAGGAGGCTATCCAAAAATTTCATTGCCTCTTCAAACAAGCCTCAAAACGTTCATTTACCCCACAACATGTCAAGTCTCTTCTCCATTGTTTCAGGCTGCTGAAGGGAACTCAATATAGATTTCCTGCTGATTTCTTATCGACTGTACAAAATGAGAAGTGGTTGTTTACTCGAGTTGGTGGTTATAGATGTCCCACAGATTGCATTTTTTATGGTGTGGAGTGGAAATCTATCTCTACAATAACTTGTCTTCCTTTTATTGATGACAGTGACAACTGTTATGGTCAAGAAATACACAAGTACAAGGAAGAGCTGAAGAGCATTGGTGTTGTTACTGAATTGAAAGATGGGGTGATGTTTGTGCCTAAATGTTTGAAATTTCCTTTAGATCCCTCCACCATTACTCCTGAAAGTGTGTTAGCTTTTCTGGGATGCATCAGACTTTTAATGCACAGGACTAATCTTTTCATTGAAGATGACTTCAGAAGAAGACTGTGCAGAAATTGGTTGAAGACACATGCTGGTTATAGGCCACCGAAAAAATGTTTGTTGTTCGATTCCAAGTGGAATTCATTCTTGAAGCCAACTGATGGGCCTTTCATTGATGAGAATTTTTATGGTCCCAAAATTTCATCTTACAAGAAAGAACTCAATGCAATTGGGGTCATTGTTGACATTGAGAAAGGGTGCTTCTTGGTTGCTAGTCACCTTGAGTGTCTCTCTGATTATAACACCATCGTGCAAGTATATAGGTACTTCCTTCTGCTCTAAAGAAGCTTCTTCTCTTTTAGTTTTTTCAGTTTTAAAAATTATATTAAAGGAGATATCTGTTGTATTTTCTCTGTGATTATAGGTACTTAAGTGAATACAAGTGGAAACCAGAAGATAAATCTGTCCCAAAGATTTGGATTCCAGACAATGAAATCTGGGTGAATCCTGAAGAATGTATCATACATGATCAGGATGAACTTTTTGATTCAGAATATTATGTTTTGGAAGATATCTATGAAAAGGATATTCTTCCTTTTTTCTCATTTGCCATGGAAGTGAGGAACAAGCCTTCAATTGATGATTATGTTGACCTGTGGAAGCATTGGGAGGATTCATTGGAACAACTGTCATACGACAAGTGCTCTAAGTTCTGGATGTTTATGCTGAAACATGCGAGCTCAAGTGTGGAGAAGAAACTCTCTGAAAAGTTGATGAAATTGCCTGCAACATCAGGCAACAATAAAATCATTTTGTTAGATAAGGAGGATGTTTTTATTCCTGATAACCTTTATCTGAAGAGGCTTTTTGAGAATGAGAATGTTTTTGTCTGGTTTCCTCAGAACATGGCACCATTGTACAGGTGTAAATTGTTTGACATCTATAGAAAAATTGGTGCTCAAAATATCTCTGAATCTTTGTCTAAGGAAGAGTCATCCTTACTGAATGGCGATGAATTTAATCAGGTTGATGCTTGTAATATTTTCAACATGAAGGGGTTAGTCAAGCTTATTCTTGGTTTTCTTGCTTGTTCTAGCCTCAAAATGAAACAAGATGAGAGGCACAATGCTGTTCAAGGCCTACTCAACCTTAGTTTCTTTGAGACAATGAAGCCAGTCACCGTAAGCTATAGTTTATCACTGTCATCAGGTGACATCATTAGCAAGAAGGCAAACAGAATGGTGCGGTGGGAAAGGGAAAGTTCCAAATTTTTCACTCAGAAGATGGATGGGCATCCTGGAAATGGAAGTTTGATAAAATATGCTACCTATTTCTCTGAAACAATATCAGAGGGTGTTTTGCGCGAGAATCATGATCATGTTCCTGCACTATCTGAGCTGATCAAGTTGGCTTTTCTGTTGAAATTCAACAATGAGGCAATTGAATTTCTTATGGAGTCCAAGAACTTGCAGATTTTTGGTGGAGATCAGAAGTTCCTTACTTCTGGCTTCCTATCTGACTAAGTCTACTGCATTGATGTTTAAAATGTTTAAACTAAGGTTTGCATATTACCATATGTGTATTTATAAATTCTGTTTCAAAGTTTGCTTGTTCCCTTGTGTGGTGTGTGATTAGTTAATGACAGAGAAAAATGTTGCATTAGCTGTTAAGACTTGAAGTATTAGTTACTCAGTTTCATGGTCAATGCTTTGGTTTTCGTTGTCTGAATGAATATTTCCCATGTTTATAATCTCTCTTAATATCTTTAATTTTGTTTGATGAAAAATTGGACCTTGCTACATTTGTGGTCTTGAAAGTCTCATATTACTATTAGTGTCTCCTTATTGCATATATATTATTATTGTTTTATATTTATTTTAACTTGAAAATCTCATATTAGTGTGTCCTTATTGCATATATATTATTGTTTTATATTTTAACTCGAAAGTCATGCTAAAAGCATACGCCCAAGTAAAATTTTGTTAACTTTTGAAACAAATTGTTTGCCATGATTCTGCTAACAGTAACTTCAATAAAAATGAATTATGTGCTGTGTATATAAATCAAATAGTAACTTCTTGTTATTCCATATATATGCAATACACCTTTATGCTTTGTTTTGATAGACCTATTGGCATGAAAAGAAAATGTAAGGAATGATTTTTGTGCAGAATTTTTTGTTTTCTACTGTTTGAATACTTGTCTGCTCACACGTGCTAATACAATTTACTTATTTTAACTCATTCAAATAAGTGGAGAGAATTTTTATCATTTTTTTTATTTTTATATTCTTCCAAAAAATATATTTTCTATTTTTATTTTTACTCTAATTTTTTCTTTCATTATTTCATCTCTCTTCCAAAACATACTATACTATTAGTTCTTCTTGTTGCATACTTGCATTGACCTGTATTACCAAAAGCACATATAATGTGCGTTAATATTTAGTTTATTTTAAAGAAATGATCATGTTAGCTTCATAAATTTATTAAATATTATTAGTTTGATGTTTTAAATTACTAAAATATTGTACATATAATAATTAATAAATTTCATTAAAAATTATAACATTTAACATGTATTAAATTACATTAAATTTTATGATTTTTATTAAAAAGTTTCTATAATAATTTTTTAAGACAAAAGTTAGGTACAATATCGTAAATACATTTTATACTCTTTTAATTAAAATTAAAATTTCATCTCACTAATATCTAATTACTTTTAAAATTTTATTGTGTAAAGTATTAAATTAAAATTCAATTTCATTTAAAAATAACACAAAACACCTAAATTAATGAACTTAAATTTTATGATATATTTTATCTTCATATGTTAAAGGATAATATTTTTCTAATGTGTATGCAGAATTTAAAGCTATTTTTTAATTAAAAATAAGCATTAATTTTTTCAAAATTATAAAAAAATTGATAAATTATTTAATAAAATATATTTTATGTACATTCCTTAAAGTAACCATAAAAAAATAGTTAATAATTTTGGAAACACTAAAATTCAGAACCTTGGCTAATATGAAAAGCCTTGGGATTTAATTGAAACTATTAAAAGTAGATAACTAGCAAAAAATAAAATAAAAATTCAAGGTTCGAATTACATAAAACATGATAACAAATTTACTCTCTTTGGTCAATAATAATATAATGACTACATATGAATCCTTTACTTGTTTTTTGGATGACATATACAAACAGAAATAAAACACTTCAAAACGAAAATAATCTAAAATTACCCTTAAAAACATGAATGATTCAAATGGTTATCCTAAGATAATGACATAAACAAATGACGTTTGTAGGAATATCATAAAACAAAGGCATACCAAGCCTAAAGGATGTTCCTTGGGCTATGAAACTGGTCCCAATCCCTCTCGTTTGCAAACTCACTTATTTTCTACTTAAGCATGTTAAGAGTAATAGGTACTTCTTCATCAATCTTACCCATCTTTAAATCACAAAACAAAAGAGAGGATGAAGAAATAGAGAGAGAAGAATGAAGAAATGAAAGACAAATAGAAACACATTATATAAGGAACTGAAGACAAGAAAGACAAATTTAAAACTTTTTTGTTTTCTTGGGAAGAATGACTAATAGTGTGTTATTATGCATAAAAAAATAGGAAAATTATTTGCATGGTCTTGGACTATTATTGTTCCTACTAATAAAAAAGACATTTATGTATTTTTTTTTATTTTTATAAAATTGATACATGTCTAAACTTAATTGACAGGAACTACATGATCCTGGATTATTGAATAATTTTTTAGATGATAAAAAAATGTCATTCCGTTTAATATTTGAAATAAAAAACAATAAAATAAAATATAAATATATTTAAATAAAAAATACTTCTTTATTAAAATTAATATAATTTTTTAATTTTTTTCTGTATTATATTATTAAAATTTTTAATATTAAATTAAAATAATTTTCTTCCATGTTTTTACAATAAAAAATTAATTTTTGGTAAGAAATTTTATTTAAAAATATAAAAAATGTAAAATATATTTTAGATGATAAGTAAAATATTTTTATAAAATTATTTTAAAATATAATTTTTTAAGATATATATTTTTTAAAATATTCATATAATATTTTCATAAAAAGTATTAAAATTATATTTTTAAAATAATTTTTTGTAAAATATTAAAAAGATATGAAGTATGACTAAGAAGGTAATAAAAAAAGTTATTCTATTATGATATTCTTCTGACTTATGACTTTCTTTTGAATAAGAATTTAAACTATGAAGATATGATAATCATTAGTATATCTTGTTATTAATAAATATAAAAACAAATATTTTTTCTTCTTCTATTCTTGTATCCTAAATACTACAGTAGCTTTAAGTGTTTATTAACATTCTTATTTATAAATTTTTATATAAAATATTCTTATTATTAGTATAGAAATTTATCACTACTTATTATCATTTTAATTTAAGTAATTTTTATTTAAAATACTATTTTTTATTTCTTATAATTATATTAATAATTTGAGTATTTGAGACAAAAATCACTTAAATAATAGTAACAATAGATATATGAGATTGACAATGGATGATCTCTTAATATGGTAAAAATGGTAATTTAGACAAAAAAAATTATTTAAATGAAAGTCAGTATAAATATTTAAAAGTCTTTAATCCATTAAGAGTACCTTCACGAATAAATGTAGGACAGATATTTGAATCCTCACTCGTGTTAGTAGGAAGTATGCTAGATAGACATTATCGAATAACACCTTTAATACACATGCATATATGAATTTTAAAAATTTTATTATATCTATATTTATAATGTAATAAATATCTGTAATCAAATTTTATTATTTTTAAATTTAAAAATTAATATTTTTTTATTTTAAGAAAAATTTGATGGTTAGCTTTGTTGAAAGGAGAAAAAAGAGGAGATAAGAGACTCAAAAGGGATTCAAGTTACTCAATTTGGTTTAGCTAATTTTAAAGTTAAATTTTTATTTAAAAATTAATCTTATACTATTTAATATAATTAAGATATGTGATTAATTAATTTTATTGAAATATACATTGTTAAAAAATAACCAATTAGTTTTTTTTATTAAACTAAATATTATACTATTTAATAACATTAAGCAATTAAGCTAACTCATGTAATTTTACAAGTGAGATGCAAAGAGTAAAAACTAATTTTAAAAATATAATTTTTTACTTCTTTTGCTTAATTTTACATTGAGTTATTATAATTTAAATTATATGCAATTTTGGTATTATAATTTTTTTTTATTAAATTTAGGTAAATTTAGTCCATGCATTCATTTCTTTTTTTATTAAATATCGTCAAAATTATTATTTTTAATTACTTATTTGAAAATATATGATGCATTTGAAAATGATCAAATCATGATGTTTTATTTAATGATTTTATGTAGAAAAGGTCTAAAATAATTTAATTAATTTTAATTACAAAGATTTTTACAAAGAAATGGGAGAAATAAGTTACTACAATAACAAAGAATTCAGTGCATCATAATAGAACAAAACACATACTATTCAAATACTATTTTATTAGGAAAGCAGAAGGAACTAATGAAATCAAGTTTGAGCATTACAAACTAAAGATTAAATTGCAGATATTTTCACTAAAATGCTACCAAGATCAAAATTTAAACAGGTGTGCATAATGTTTGAAGTTATATAAATTTGCATAAAGAAGGTGCATTAGAACATGACACAAATTTCTAAAATAGTCTAAAAAATATTAGGAACAATCTAAGAAAATCTATTTGTATTTAGATACAAGATAGATTTAGAAATCATAGTTCAATAATATTATAAATATTATTATAATATTAAACCATCCAAATATAATGGTGGAAAATGCCTATAGATAGACATGAATTATATTGTAAGTGAATGTGAATGAAGTAAGCAAATTATCAATTCTCCATCCCTAAACTGTTTTACTCAAACTTGTACCAAAAACCATTATATATTAACCATCTAGTCAGTTCATTATATTTTTGAATGAATTATGATTACCATTTTGATCGAAAAAGAGTTTGTATGATTCCAAAACTTGCTATTATTAGTGTCTTTAATACCTAAACACTTGTGTAGATTCTTATTAATCAAAATATGTAGAAATATTCATTATACCCAAGATATGTCAAATATTGAAGTTAAGCAAGTATTTCAAGTTTATATTTATGATTAGTTTTAAGAGCTTGGCCATTGACATGTGTAGCTTTTTGTTCATAGTGTGCTAGTTGCAAATAAATAGTACAATTTGAATTGTTCAAATATATTTAGTGATATGGAAATCGCTCGCTTTAGGGGTGAACTATGGTTTGGAATCTGAGATCCAAGTCCAAAGACATATTTGATTGTTCTTGTTTATAACCTATCCTATATATCTATTGGAATTCCTTGCGTTCTTGCAATAACAAACAAATTTGCAGTTAGCACACATCATCAAAGTGCAGCAATGGATGCTGCACTGAAAGCATATCAAACATCTCCTTGCTCAATTGAAGCAATAAGTTCTTGTCCACACATTTCGTTTGGATTTGTTGGGGCACCTCTTTCTTTGGATGCAAGCAATACAGATTCTAATTAAAAGGGTGGGTGCTGAAAAGCTTATATTTGCCCCTGTTAACTTTGTTAGGAGGCCTTTCCAGACAAAAGGAGACTGTTCTTCCAGTAGAAGGAGTCAGCTCTCTTTGTTAGCATATCCGCCATGTACTTTGCAGTCATGAGGAGTTATCATTTCAGGTGGGAAAATCTTAATTTTCAGGGTATCATATCTAATTTTTGTTTGAATAATTCTACCAGTAGTAC